TCGCCGCTAGGCATCGATGAACGAGGAACGATTACCTTGTAGGGCGGAGTTATGGATATTGTGCTTCCGGACCCAAGATGAATGGTACTTGCTTAATAATAAATATGTACTAACATTAAAATATTTACTATCTACACTTAATAATAATATAAATTATGAATGCTTCAAAATACTTTGAATTATTGTTTTTTTATAATTATACTATTGGCTCGTTATGGCTTCACCCTGACGTAAAGTGAACCACATACATATTATTTAGAGGTTATTAAGTTTGAAATTATACAATACTAGCGACTCCACCTCGCTTCACTTGGGTTTGTCCGTAGTTACTTTTTAACGCTTACAATTAGTATAGATTTCTCTGAGATGAGATACTTTTCAACAGTAAAAAGTATCCTATATGTTGTCCTGGGTAATCAGCTAGCATTATATCAAGTTTCATCAAAATCTGCCCAGCAGTTTTCTTATGGTGCGTTCCCAGATAGACAGACAGACAAAATTCTAAGCACTACATATTCGGCCTCTATATCGATAATAATGACTATTTCAATGAGATTTTCTAAACAAAATTTAATGTACAGATTCGATTCATAATTTTATTATATATATAGACTAAGGGTGGCTTTAATAAGTGATAGTCGAAAAGTAATAAGTAGCTTAGAAACAAAGAGACGAAAACTTTAATATATTACAATGACACCAACAACAACTACTCTCTGAATTCTTAATGACGAAACGTTTGGCTCAGTTTGTAGTGACCCTAATTGCTGTGTCAGCATTTGCGGGTTCGAGTCTCGCTGGAGGTATTCATTTGTGTGATGAGCACGAATGTTTGTACTCCAGTCATAGGTAATATTTACAATATGTATTTATTTAAAGTTATACCTATATGTGTAGTGTATCAAGTGTCTGGTATCTACTAAACAAGCTTCGTAGCTTACCATGGAACTAGATGGTGCTGTGTGTTAATGTCCCAACATATTTATTTGTTTATTTTCTTGAATGAAAATTAAAATTAAAATTCTTCAAATTTTTGAAAATAATCATAGGCAAAAAAGGCAAAAAAATTATATCCACAAAACAGAGCAATGCCGCGAAAAATAACTAGTATAAAACATAAGAGGTGCAGGTGTTCCCCTATACTATTTACTGCTTGTGTTTCATTTAGTCCACATAAAGCTTTCACTAATATATTCTTTGGTACGTCAAGCTGGCACTTAAAGGGGTGAGTCCGACCGTCGGACGTCATGCAAAACTTCCGCCTGTGTACGATATATTTGTGTTAGTCGGTACTGTGGGTATAATGAGACGAAGCTTATAAATATAATATTTTTTCTTCTTAAATATAAAAAAAAACATATCTATATAATATTATGTCACGTGACAGAGATATGTCGCTTTAAAATAATATATTTTTTAATATACTTGTATTATTTTGTGATTTATTATGCCTCGTTTCTTTTTGCAGTCCATTAAGTGTTTTTTATGAATATGTATATTTCTTACTAAATCACGCTAAAACGGATGGAGCGATTTGAATCAAATTTAGTATACAGATAGATTTTGGTCTGTAGTAGCACATAGGTTATTAATAAAATTTATCATAACAAAATTTACAAAAAGTCCAAAGATAAGTCACTAGTTTTGGTTATAAAATCTAAGTTCTCAGTATACCACAAGGATGTGTGTCGGCCGCAACGCCTCTTTCATGTACTGAATCAGATACGCACCAATTTACGAGCACCCGCCTTAATTGTTCATACTTCGCCGCAATCGGTTTCAATTTGTTATTATGATCGAAAATGTTGGTAACAACGCGCTTATCTCTTACAGAAATGTTATTATTTCAATAATAGCATACTAATAGATTAAGGTGTTGAATGACATAAATAAATATAAATATGTTGGGACATTAACACACAGCACCATCTAGTTCCATGGTAAGCTACGAGGCCTGGGTTATGGATACCAGATAGTTGATACACTACACATATATAACTTTAAATACATAAATATTATAAATATAAACATTAAACACCCATGACTGGAGTACAAACATTCGTGTTCATCACACAAACGATTTAATGAATGCCCTTAGCGGGACCCGCGACCGCTCGCACAGCAAGTAGGATCACAACAAACTGAGCCAAACGTGACATCCTGCTCATGACTCTGCCATCGTATTAATCCAACTACGGCAAAGCCCAAGGAGGGTTATGAGGAACTGTATGTATGTGTCGGATCTACGTTCTCTCGTAATTACTAAGCAGCTTAACCTTAAAATATAATGGTGTGCAATAAAGAATATTTCAATTTCAATTTCAATTCAATTAACCGATTTTTATAATTCATATGCTGTTAAATTTGACTTGATGCGCAAGTGTCATAGAGCGGATCCTAGGCGGCAATTTGTGTCTTGAAAAAATATTTTTGTCCGAATCAATCGAGTGGGGTATCAAAATACAGTATTTTTAAAGGGTGATTAAAATTAATGATAAGAATTTTTTAAATAAAACTAAAAATGTTTAACTGATCAAATCTACAAAGCTGTAAATAAAAAATATATTTATAAAAATAAAAAATCCGACTGCGTAAAAAGCGAACTAAAAAGGTGAGAACAAGTTAACGAAAAAACATAGTACAGTGTATTATGCAGTCAGGGACATACATACATTCGTGGTGGTGGGGCTCAGTAGTGCCCGGCAATCCAACCGGGCGCGAAGCTAAGAAACGCACAGGGAGGTTGCCCACTTCGGTGGGCGGTGGGAGGTGGCCCTCTTCGGGGGGCGGTGTACCATGCGGGTTGCTCCTGGTACTTCTCTGATAGCAGAGTGGACTGTGGAGCAACCCCATGGTTGTGGTGGTCTGCTTCGGTGGATACATATGTTCTATACTGACTGCGTGTATTGCTACGTGTATTTTATATATATAATTTCTTAGAAATGTGCCTGGAGGCGTTAAGTTTTGTAAAATGTAATGTTATATGATAAGTAGAATACATGTATTCTTGAGTATGGATTTTAGTGTATTTATAACTAGGTTAGTTTTAGGAAGCTAGTTTTTTGGTAAGTTTTAAGATGAATTTTGGGTAAAATTTGCGTTGGTTTTATAAGATTATTAGAACAAATAAATATATGTAAAAATCATATACATAGATTAGAAAAAGTGAACCAACCGTCAAACAAAAACCCGTACAAAACGAAACAGTTCCAACAGTATTTTACAGTTTAATAGACAATAATCTGCAATAAAATGCTTTAAATCTCCCCTCAGAAAGTCGTTTAAATATAAAATTGTCCAATTGCAATAGCACAAACAAAAATTGCCAGCACTTACATACTTTATGTGAGCATCTGCATACATAAAACCTCCAAATACCCCATAAAAATACTCGTCACAAACCACAATATAGGCCGAAATATGAATAATAAAATTCCATATAAATTATATTTGATGGAGACCTCAAAAACACTGTGCGTATCCTGCATTATATTTTGTACACTTAACTAGCGATTGACCCTGGTTTTTCTATGACATTTTTAATTTTTAGGAAAACCCATATTTTATCAATTAGGTACTTTATTTTTTTATCATAGCAAGTAAATACTTTATAATATTATCTTTTCTTAGCTCTCATTAATAATATCCTGCAAATATGAAGAGTTTAAAGTAATTTAAAAAAAATGCTGTATAGAAAATAATAATATTTAAAGCTATTGTACTTTAAAATCAATAGTTATATTATTTTTGATTCAGTAATCGTGAAAGCCATTGAATTTATACGGAACAAGGCGTATACAGTAATATCTGTCAGAGGAACATGTTACCGAACCCTAAACATTAGAACCCGACTGCGGCATCATCCCTCTTTTTTATGACATCGAAAGCATTTTTACGCGGGTCATCCCTTAAATTCCTTTTATTATGCCTTGTAAATCATTGCGTAATGCTCGAGTGCATTATCGTGGGGAAACTTCATTATGGTCGGTTTAATGGTTCGAAGGAGCGATAAAATCTAGCTGGTCGACGAGCGTATAGTAATGGCGGAGGTGTGTATCATTTTAGGGCTTGTGGGATAGTTTCTAGATGAAAGACTGCAGGAACTTTTGCTTGAATCTAATTCAAGGTACTTATATTTGGATAAAGTTTAGAATTGATTTGTAACTAAACGGACAAAAGTAAATGGTAAAATATTTTATTAATGTTAATATTATATAAAATTAAAAAGAAATATGTAGATTTGATAGTAGTTTGTATAACTTAATTCATTGAGTGTTGATCGGTGTTAATTACACTGTGTAATGAAATCTATTTTTTATATATTTTTTTCTATTTTGTTATACTTGTCTGTGGTTGTGTAAGGAATAACCAATAAATTGTGTTTTCCTCTTTCAAACATCAATAGAGTAAATTCACCTATCAGCCTTTTTTTCTCAGTATATCTAATGCTTCCCACAGACTACTAATTTGAAAAATTAATTTAATATTATAATAACTGAAAACATACTTTTTGCGAATTTCTATAACTTTAAAGAAATAAAAAAAAATCAAAGTACAACAAAGTCCATTTCTTCTAACTTCCTTAAAGCTATCCCAAGAGAGCCAAAATTGTGGAAATTCTAATAATGGTGGGAGATATATCACGTGCAATTTGTTGCGATAGCGATAGGTGGCTAGAGAGAATTGTAGTTTATTGCGCCATAAACCGGGATGCGTTACCTTGAGGCTACTTTACGCTGAACCCAGCTTTTTAATTTGTGCTCGCCACAATAACATAGCATCTTTCGTTATTATATCTTCTATTGTATACAGCTAATATATTTTATTGTTTTAGTGAGAATTTCTATTTCCATTGGTTTGTATAGAAATTTAAATATACATTACATTAAAATAATATAGAATTTATTTCTTTTAACTGTAAATCGGTTAAAAGATCTGTTCAACATGTGCGAGATTTGTGTAAGAGAGCTGATATCGTCGCTCTTCAGGAGACTTGGCTGATGCCACACGACTTAGGTTTCATGAACGAAATTGATAAGGAGTTTGGCTGCTGTGCAAAGTCCTCTATCGATACATCAGCAGGAGTGCTACGCGGGCGGCCCTACGGTGGGACGGCGCTTATGTGGCGAACGAGTTTGTTTACCAGCGTCGATATTGTGCAGTGTGACAGTGATCGGATAGTGGCTATGCGTTTAAGTATAGATACTCGTAGTATACTTGTGTTTAGTGTATACATGCCTACGGATTGTGTAGATAATCTTCCAGAGTTTACTCAATGTCTCGCAATAATCAGCGCTGCGATTGAAAGCGTTGATACGGAATGTGTTGTGATATTAGGGGATTTCAACGCGCATCCAGGAACTCTTTATTGGAAAAGAGCTGGCGGAATACTGTGGTGAGCAATCATTATGCTATTTGGACGTAGAGAGACTTGATAAAGACACGTATACTTTATTGTGAGTGAGGCGCATGGCTCGTGTCGTTGGCTTGACCACTGCATAGTGACGGCCAAGCCGCGGCACCCTCTTGTCATAGATATACATGTGAAATATGCACTCATTCTGGTCAGACCACTTTCCTCTTGTCATACACTGTGATTTTAGTTTTAATTAGGCCTAAAGTAGTTATGTGATATTAAATTTTAATTTAGGTAGTTTTTTTTAAAAAACATTTATGGGGTTAATAGGAGAAAGAACAAATGGATATGTATACAAAAATTTTGTGATGAAAAGTTTAAGTAATATTTTATATAAATATAGTGATGTACACATGGAATGTTTTGGTGTAAAATCACTTTGTGCGAATGGGGATCACTTAACACGTATAGACCAATTTTATATTGTGATATTATAAGTGCACTGCGGTTGGCGCTGAACAGAGTTCTGACGTAAAAAAATATAGAAAGGGACAGATAGTCGTGGGCTGGAATTTTCATGTCAGGCGCTCACATGTTAGGGCTAGAGAGAGGTTAGCGTTGTGGGTTCGTCAGGGTAGGCCATACTCGGGGTATTTTTTATGATAGCATGTTAGCCTCACGCAGGGAGTTTAAAAGCCGCACTCAAAAATACATACAATGTAATCAAGAACGCATTAAAATGGAAATGCTGGCTCGGCATCGTTCCACTTGTAACTTTGTTGTGATTTTGGAAAGAACACCAAAAAGCTTAATAATAAAAATTGTGTACCGGTGAGTGTTGGAAGGAGGAAAGAAATAAAAAAAAAATATAGCAAACTTATTTAAAGATCATTTTAATGTACCTAATAAGCAAAACAGTGTAATTAGTATATCTAAAAGTAAACTTCAGTCATCTCGCTCGGGAGACTTGCCACGAGACAGTTTTCACCACCAAACAGATAGAATTAATTCTGAGGTATATGAAGCGTAGTAAGTCTCCGGGCCCACGATGACTTGTATAGAACACAAAAAAAAACACTTGTTTGTATGCTGGTCAGCATGTCTGTAAGGTACTAGGCGAGTTTTTTTAATCTCTGCATAAGACATAGTTACTTACCAGAGGAACTTACCCGTGCGCCTGGTAGTTCCTATCACAAAGAACAAAACGGGAATATCTCGAGCGTGGCTAACTATAGGCCTATCTCACTGGCCACGATAGTGGACCAAGGTGCTTGAACGTGTCATCCACTGCCTACACAAGCGCAGTAGGTATTGATGACGGGCAGTTTTGGATTTTCGACCCACAAGTTTCAACAGACATGGCTATATTCGCCCTAAAGCAGGTTGTCAGCTATTACAAACAGGTAACACAAACAGTATATGGCTGTTTTTCCTAGATCTAAGCCGCGCTTTGACACACTTAATCAAGATCTATTGTGGAAGAAGGTACGGGACACAAGTGTCTAGTCTGAGATTGTTGGCCTCCTCGAGTATGTGGTACCGTAACCAGACCAACAATGTCAGATGGGGCAATGAGCTGTCAGACTGTTATCAGCTTCCATGTGGTGTCAGGCAGGGGGGGCTTACATCTCCTGATTTGTTTTAATATCTACATTAATGATCTAATCGGGGAGCTGAGCAGGGACTCCAGATGGGGCTGAGGTTGGATGGCAGATACGTCAACAACCTAAGCTACGCTGATGATATGGTGTTGCTCAGCCCCTCGATTAAAGCTTAACGAAAACTTATCGCGAATATGTGAAAGATATGCCAAAGAGCATAATCTAACATATAACGCAAATAAAACAGAAATGATAATATTCAGATCGGGAGAGGTGCCACAAAAATGTCCCCCGTCGTTTGTGTTAATGGGCCAGCCTGTCAAGGTTAGTGGACAACTTTAAGTACCTTGCCACATCGTAACTTCCCGTCCTTAAAGATGACGCAGATATCGAGCGTCAACGTAGGGCTCTATGTGTGGGTGGCAACATGATTGCTAGGAAATTTTAAATGCGCAGCGCCTGACGTGAAAATTACTATGTTCAAAGCTTTCTGTCAGTCGTTTTACACGTGTCAGCTCTGGACTAACTGTAGTAAGAAGCATCGCATGATGGCATACGAGTAGCCTACAATAACGTTTTTCGAATCCTCATGGGCCTGAAGCGTTATTGTAGCGCTTCAGAAATGTCGTACGCGGAGGCGAGGGTCGACTCATTCAATGCCATACAACGTAAGAGGATTGCCATCGTCATGTCCAGGGTTTGGATACTGTGTAATAATGGCATTATTAGAAGTCCTGTCCGCTAGGCTGATGCAGTCAGCAATGTACCGACGCTGGGTGGATATTGCCACCTAGTATCTATTTGTAATTTATATTGTTTATATTATTTAATTTTTATTGTATTATTGTATGTGTACTATGGATCAAGGGTCTGAAATAAAGAATTATTATTATTATTATTATTATTATTATTATAAGAAATTTATCTTCTCTTCTTCCTTTCAAAAGAAGGTATTACTCTATCACACGGGCCTTAACCAAGTATGATAGAATTAAAAATTAGTGTGACTGGAAGTACTAGAAATGGTTGAGGATGCTAGAAATTTTCGTGTAATTCGACAGGTGTTTAGTATAGCGGCTTTTTGTAAAGTGTAAATTATATATACTGGAATATTTATTATTTTTAGACTGTTTACTAATGATTTAGGTACTACACCAGTGGATGACAATACAATTGGTAAAAAATATGCACAGTTTGGGCTTGCCATTGGGTCTTAATTTCTATTTTTTAGCAAGGTCTTGATATTTTGACAGTTTCTCAGGCACACAGTGGCCTGAATATTGTGTGTGTTAGGAATGGCTATAATCTATTAGAAATATTGTTTATTTTTTCTTGTCATAAAAGGTAATGTCTGGTCTATTATTATGTACTGTCTTATCTGTTAATATAGTCCTATCCCAGTAAAGCTTATAGTCACTGGTTTCTAAAACGCAATCGAGGTTTATATTTATAATATAGCTGTTTATTTTTTATAAATTTGTAATCATATGCAAGGTGTTGGCGTGAATTATTGACGCTAATTGATCGTGGTGTCTATGCTTGTAATCTGTTTGCTACAATACTTCTACAAGCTCCGTTTTATGTGTTGGATTGTTTCGGGGGCACTATTACAATGTCTACATAAATCGTTTATCTGTTTGGAATCTTTTAATATATATTTGTGTGTAGTTACGAGTGGCAATCACTTCATCCTGTATCGCGAGCATGTAGCCTTCGGTCTCTGGAACAATTCGCCCCTCCTAAGCCCATTCGTTCGACCTATCTTTATCGACATATTGCTGGCACAGGGTTAGATCGGTGTCTCCCGTGTAAGGATTTTCCGGCCCATGACGCTATTTTTTGAGTCACGTGTGTAATTTTTTCATTGATCTGCGTTTGTTTTTTCGTGTAAATTGGTGGTGTAAGTTTTTGTATCTGTTTCTATTGCATGTTTGTGGATTGCTGAATGTTCCTGACTTAGAATAAAAATAGTTTTTAAAAGTAGTTATTAATTTATTATGAAAAGATTACGTATGTCTATAAATCCTCTCCCTCCTTCGCTACGCGGTAATGTGATCCTTCTGGAATGCATGATTTTGGGTGATGTTTTCCTGAATTTGTGTAGTAAGTAGTGTGTGGTATGATTCGCTGTAGTTTTTGTAAATCTGTTTGTGACAGTGTATTATACCAAAAGAATACGTGAGTAATGGGAATGGACAAAGGTGTTAATAGCTTTTAGTAGTATTTTTTGAAATTTAAGTGGCTTTTTAAAATGAGGATTTACACGGTAAAAACCACCCTAAATTTATTAATTAAATCTAGCTTTGTTTGCTTTACCTTAATTTGTTTAGATTGATGAAATCCTAAATATTTATAAGTGCTCAATTCATCCATTGGTTCAATCGTTTCAACCAGTTTCGAGTACATATGCGTTTTTATCTATTACACCTTTATTGACTGAAAAGAATTTTGCATTTGTCTATGCCAAACTGCATACGGATATCAGTAGAGAACTCCTGTGTGATGTCCGCCTAACTTAAATAATCCCTTTCTATTAGAAGCATACAAGTGTAATGTCGTCTAAATACATTAAATGTGAAATAGTACTATCGATCCTGCGCACGATTGAGTCTGTATCCAATGTTACTTTTATTTAACAATTCTGATAGAGGGTTAAGAGCAATACAGAACCATAAGGGGCTTAAAGAGTCACCTTGAAAAAATCCCACGTTGAATGCGAATCGGTTCAGTAGATATTATCTCAGACAAATGGTTAAATTTTTAAAATAGTTTGCCAGTTTTGCATGGTAATATTAAGAAAGTTTATAATTTTAGGATTAATTTTATACAAATGAAGAGTTTCTGAGTAACCAACTGTGAGGAATTGAATCGAAAAAAAACAAAGCTTTGCGATAGTCAATAAACATTGTATGAATATTTTTGTTTATTTTTTGCGAGCACTATTCATAACTATAGCATCCAAGGTGAGTTGCTCTTTGCATCCCTGGCTGTTCTTCTACACCCCTTTTGTTGTTCAGTGAGTAGATTATTATCAATGAGGTGGCTATAAATGATTTCTGCTGATCCATGATGTGATTATTTTGTAAATAGTTTGTAAGCATGTTTATGGGTCGGTAATTTCTGGATTTTGAGTTTCACTATTTTTTTTGCTATCATGTATGTTTTTCCTTGAGTAATATATTTAGGCATTATGTTTGATAAAGAGAATAAATTTATTAATGTAAGTATGTAGATATGGGTGTATATATGTTTTTAATTTTTTGTACCAGTAGTTATGAATGTTGTCTGTACCCAGAGAGCCTTCCAATTGTGAGCACGATTAAGGACTTTCAATAATGTATTCATTGATATTTCAGTAAATAACATTTCGTTTACATTTCTGTCATTTTGAATATCCTTAAGCCAGTTTGCATTAGGGTTGTGTCTGGATAGGATTTTC